GCTCGGTGATAATTGTCAGCAGCATTGCCTCGGGATTGCCAGGTGATGAAAACCAACATAAATTTCTGCTGGCCCAAGGCCAGCCCAAAGGAGGCAAGCAATAGGGTTATACTATATCTTTATTCAGATTAAAGGGAAAAAACGCCAACTTTAATTTTGAAGAAAGCTTCCGAATTGTCAACACAAATCAGACCCTCTCTGGTTTCTGTGTTGATTGATCGGTTCGCTTTGTGGCAGATCTTTCGGCAACGTTCCGCGAAGTTTAAGGGCTGCAGCAGAGCGATTCAGCTAATTGATTTACTGAGTGTTAACACGCGCTCGGGTGGGAGGTTAACTTGACCCCTCCCCAAAGGTCTTTCCAGCATGGTCTCCGAACGGCCTGATGCAGCCGCGCCAAATTTTGCATACTGCAGACAACTGAACGGCGAATCGTTAAACATTATAAAATTTAGATGCACCTTTTATGTACTTTTTATGTTCGCTGACCTGCGGTAGATCAGACAGGCCATGGATTATGCGCCGTCAATTTCTAGGGCATTGTTCAATCTGAGACAACAATGGAATATTAGGCGAGACCATACATCTCTGCGATACTTTCTAAGGCAACACAACAATTAAATAAACAAATTCAATTGACCTAAGGTCAGTTTTGAAGGTTAGACCAAGGTCAAAGCCAATCTTTCTTAGTACTATAGTGTTAACTCTATGAGGTAGTTTCTGGTGCTCATTTCAAACCTATTGATAACGGGAACCGCATAAAACATCTTTCATGCTCTTCGCAAAGGTCAGAATAGGTCACTGACCTTAACTAACCCATATTTCGTTTTTAGGAACATGCTGCCCAGCGCAATCTTCGTAGCTTATTCAAATGCAAAACTCAAAGCAGTCTTGTATGATTTTGGTCCACCATGAATTTGAAGGGTCAAACCAGGTCACTGACCTCAAATGATCATGCGACCTTTCGCTTAGAACAGGTATCTAGATTCTGGGGGATTTCAGGAGACCAACCTGGAGATTAACCTTGTCTGGCCTTACTTGACCTGAAGGTCGTGACTTAAAAACCTCAAACCTTGACCTGAGTGAGCTCAGCTACAACACAGTGAGTTGACACACACGTAACCTGAGTGAGTTACAGGGTCAACACACCCTGCAAATTTTGTGACTCTAGCTCTCTTAGTTCATGATATCTCCAGCTGCGGGTCAAATTGACCCCCTCCCCCACCCCAACCCCACCCCAGCGAAGGGTATCCAGCCGACCACCCAGGCGCATGTTAAACATTTCCCTACCCCAGTTTCTGCAAAGCGATATGCCCTTTCATAGCTTGTCATCGCTTCTGCTACCTGGCCATATGTAGCCACCGCCTAACTTTTGCACTAGATCACTGATAATTCCGGCTGAGACATGCACCTCGGATGGGTGCCGGTGGATCCCAGCGATTTGTCCCTTACCCGTTAGGTCGAGTTTGGCGGCCAGGGTCTGAACTGAAAGTCATGGCTTCTAATGGCCACCGCTTACGTTTGCTATTAATACGTTGGACCAACAGCATTATACCAGCCATGCACACTAATCCAATGTGGTCATTTCATTGCCACCATGTGTGTGCACTGGAGCTGCAGTTTTTCTAAGTACTTGCGCCTGTGCCCCCCCCCCCCCCTCACAGCACAAAGCCGCTGTCATACTCAGATCTGCTCACTTGCGCTTGTGCCCCCCGACAGCACAAAGCCCCTGTCATACTCAGATCTGCACACTGTGTTCACGTCGCGATTCTATTTGCATTGATGCCGCATGTCAGAGGCAGCCAGCGTGTTGGTAGGCCGCGGCAACCCTGCCATTTTCGAAGCCGCGCTCTCGTTCACGAGCCCTGTGATCTGCGGCGCTGGGTTGACATTTGCGTGGCGGCTTTCTGCGGTGTGAGCCGGCCGGCCAGCCAGCCCCGCCCCAGACACATTTCAACCTGACCCCGCCAGTGCCTCTCAAACTGTTCTGCGCGTCGACGGTGTCACTGTTTCCGTCGCGAGCAATGATGACACAGCCTCCCGTGCCATAATGGCGCGGCCGTCCGTGCCATGATGACGCAGTCGTCCATGCACTGTCCTCACCTTGTCCTGGTGATGCCACACTGCAGGTGTTTGATACGTGTACTGTCGTCACCTTGTCCTGGTGATGCCACACTGCAGGTGTTTGATCCGTGCACTGTCGTCACCTTGTCCTGGTGGTGCCACACTGCAGGTGTTTGATCCGTGCACTGTCGTCACCTTGTCCTGGTGATGTCACACTGCAGGTGTTTGATACGTGCACTGTCGTCACCTTGTCCTGGTGATGTCACACTGTATGTGTTTGATCCGTGCACTGTCGTCACCTTGTCCTGGTGATGCCACGCAGCAGGTGTTTGATCCGTGCACTGTCGTCACCTTGCCCTGGTGATGCCACGTTGGAGGTGTTTGATCCGTGCACTGTCGTCACCTTGTCCTGGTGATGCCACACTGCAGGTGTTTGATCCGTGCACTGTCGTCACCTTGTCCTGGTGATGTCACACTGCAGGTGTTTGATCCGTGCACTGTCGTCACCTTGTCCTGGTGATGTCACACTGCAGGTGTTTGATCCGTGCACTGTCGTCACCTTGTCCTGGTGATGCCACACTGTAGGTGTTTGATCCGTGCACTGCCGTCACCTTGTCCTGGTGATGCCACACTGCAGGTGTTTGATACGTGCACTGTCGTCACTTTGTCCTGGTGATGCCACACTGTAGGTGTTTGATACGTGTACTGTCGTCACCTTGTCCTGGTGATGCCACGCTGCAGGTGTTTGATCCACGCACTGTCGTCACCTTGTCCTGGTGATGCCACGCTGCAGGTGTTTGATACGTGCACTGTCGTCACCTTGTCCTGGTGATGCCACGTTGGAGGTGTTTGATCCGTGCACTGTCGTCACCTTGTCCTGGTGATGCTACGCTGCAGGTGTTTGATCCACGCACTGTCGTCACCTTGTCCTGGTGATGCCACACTGCAGGTGTTTGATACATGCACTGTCGTCACCTTGTCCTGGTGATGCCACACTGCAGGTGTTTGATACGTGTACTGTCGTCACCTTGTCCTGGTGATGCCACACTGCAGGTGTTTGATCCACGCACTGTCGTCACCTTGTCCTGGTGATGCCACACTGCAGGTGTTTGATCCGTGCACTGTCGTCACCTTGTCCTGGTGATGCCATGCTGCAGGTGTTTGATCGGCAGTGGAAGCTTCCTTGGGCGACCAAACACGCCTTCACCGATGGCATTCAATCGATCACGAGAACGGCGATTGGACCACGCCACATCTGGCGAACTTAAACAGACCTGTGATATATCCGTAAAAAAATCAAGGTGACTGAAACGCATGACATTATACATTACATCATAGAAGGCCTTCAGCCCACGGAACAACGCACGACTCCATTTGTGTTCCGAGAAACCTTGTGAACTACGTACCTTGTGGGGAGTGAATAAGACGATCTTTAACCAGAGCACTTCCCTCTGTAGTGGACCGACGTGCAAGCCATTGTGGCTCTGCTGATCCAATTGCGATGCTTGTATTGAGCACTGAGTTTGTTGTAAGAGCCTTGGAGATTTACTCAGTCACCACTGAGTGGTGACTACGCAGCACAACTTAAGTCCGACCATGGCATGTTCCAAGTCCGGATTTCATCACACCGTTTTTGTAAGAAGCAGCTAGCGGGTCTCAAAAATGCTATGCAATTGAGCCACACAGAACGTCACTCCTGCTGGCCTCCAACAGCGTACACAGCTCGCTACCCAGCCCTCCAAGCAACGCCCCCCCCCCCCCCCGCCGCCGTTTTTCCCTGCCCAGCACTGCTGTCGCAAAAACGTTTCTCTTTTCCCGCTGTTCCTCGCCCCTTGCGCCCGCTTCGCCGCTTCCGCCGCACACCAAATAAAGGTTTCCCTTCACAGTTTTTAAGATTTTACTGGCATGTTTATGCAGGCTTTGAAACATAAATCAGGACACTGAGAGGCACATTTCGAGTTGAATACCGTCGGCACATCAATTGGATACCGTCGGCAAAGGCATGTTTGGTCGAACACGGAAAACAAAGCAATATTCCAGCATCATCAAGTGCTAGAGTTTCTGACGAAATTGTAAAAACTGACCCAACACAAGGAAACTTAAGATTCTACAAGTAACATTAGAGATTTATCGAAAACTGGAAAGCTGCTGTCTGCGCGAGTGCCAAACAACTATGTTAAACGCAATTCATGCTGCCATTTTTGGGCCTCCCTGCTGGTAGATCATCTTGCAAATGTGGAAGAAATCTCAGCAGTCTACCGCGGCTCTTATGTAAGGCACATTGCAAATGCGGAAGAAACTTCAGCAACGCACGAAGGCTGTTATGTAAGCAGTCGTTGAATTAGTTATTGAACTGCGTGCTACCCGGCTGTCACGACAAAAATATCTGCTTTCCTATCATTAGTGGGACATACTTTGGGGGATACAGCGAACAGGTACTTTAAAGGAGACGTTGCCCCTCAATGGACTCGAAACACGCAAAATCCCATTTAAGCTCCATCCTGGTAAGTAGAAGCAAGCTTATCCCATTTAAACATGGTGATTCATTTTGAAACGAGATGATTGCAGCCAGATGATCCGGTATGATTGCACGAAAGGGGCACTCTGGTTGTAAGAAAAAATTATGAGTTCTTAAAGTCTCTAGCATCAATTGCAGTACCATCACCGGTTATATCAGCGTATTAAATATTGCGGTGAAAATCACTCCAGTGAGCTGATGCAAAGTTCGCTCGTGCACGCTGAACGGCTTCCCGACACTGGGGGCGCTCATGCCACTTTAACACAGATGTCGCTGAGACCGTACCGATTTCGCCTGAAGCGTCCTGGTATAGGTGGCGTCTCGGTCGCATGGCCGGATCGTCGGCTGCCCGGTGAACGGCGTCCGGCTGTGGCGAACCACCTGCCGCTCGGCGCGCCAGTCGAGCCGGCGGGCGCGCGTGGCCAGGTCGCGTGGAGGCACCACCAGTGCAGTTCACAGCTATCGATTGCGGGAGCGCCGCAACCTTGCCTGTCAGGTGTCGCCTGTCGCGGGAGCGTCGGAGCCCCGGCCGCGGACGCCCGGCAGCGCCAGCGGCGGGCCCACAGCCGTCCGGTGGCTGCTGCGTGTGAGCGGCGCGAGAGGCGTCCGGTCAGCCGCAGGTGTGACGGTGTGGCGGCTCGCGGCCAGTGGACTGGGACAGTGTCAGCGAGCTCTTCGGGCCCCGCCGACCTCGCCATGATCTCGTTCCTGGTGCCCCCCGAGGAGCGCGGCTTCAACCTGAACAACGCGGTGCCGCGCAATGGCGTCGGCTACCAGAATCCGGTCACCAACGGGCGCACGGACAGCATCATACGGCGTGACCTGACCTCAGGTCAGGTGACGAATGAGCCGCACCGGCCCGGTCGGACCTCGCCGAACAATAACTCGTGTCGCGTCCCCACCTCGCTCACTCTGAATCACTTAGACAACCGGCCGGCAGCCGGTCTTTCTCCGCGCCAAATACCCCTGGCCTTGACCCGTGACCTGCCGATGATGGACGACTCCAGCAGCGACGACACCACCACGGGGTCGCTGGCACCTCTCCACGCAGATGACGCGTCAGACGAAGTGATGACTCCAAGCACCGAGAACACGCACGGGCCATCCTTCTGTGAGCAGAAGCGACGTGCTCCCGCCACGACCGCCTCCACCCGCTCCGGCAAGCTGAAGAGGTCAGTCACCGCGACCTGCATGCATTGGCTGCCATGGACACTGGGCAGGAACGATCGTGCAGGGTCATTATGGGCTCGGAAGCCAGGTGCCTGCACACATGCACCACACAGGTGTCCCCCTTGGTTGGACTAAGTCAGCTCATTACCGTCGGCCAAATCCGATCCCCTTTGCACCTAAGACGCGCCCCTAAGCGTGTGTTTACACGCGGCCTGGCATCTTCTGGGGATATCATTCCACACGTATCAAAGGCTATATTGGTGAAACCATAGCGTAGCAAATGCTTAGTTTCATACAGGAAAAATAAACGTGGCACCATATTCCAAGCACGGTACCATTGCGCATACTTCACTCCATGCTTTGAATAAAAACTATGACCTTGCCGGTTTTCAGTCATTCCTTCAGCTTAGATTAGTACTGTAGCGCAAATATCTGCCTTGAAGTATCCCGCGTAGCTGGGTTTACCTGGGGTCAGGTACTTAGAGGTTTATGTAAGGTTCAACCTTGATCTGCCGCAATCGCCCTTTTGAGAGCCATGGGATAGCGGAGCTGGGTAAGCGGCCAGGTGACACAGCACTCACACCGGTTGTCACCGTGGGTTCCCCAGCGCCGCTCGCACGGGGAGGTGAGCGCGGGTCTGACGAGAATGCTCGGACTGGACTCCCTACAAGGCGGCCCTGAGGCTGACGCGTGGAGCTGACGGCCGCCGCGTGCCCTCACTGAGACGGAGAGGCATCAGGCGTCAGGACAAGGCGGGGCATGTGGAGAGCAGGGCGGCTGCTGCTCGTGACAGCAGGCGAGGCATGTGGAGAGCAGGGCGACTGCTGCTCGTGACGGGAGGCGGGGCATGTGGAGAGCAGGGCGACTGCTGCTCGTGACGGGAGGCGGGGCATGTGGAGAGCAGGGCGACTGCTGCTCGTGACAGCAGGCGAGGCATGTGGAGAGCAGGGCGACTGCTGCTCGTGACAGCAGGCGGGGCATGTGGAGAGCAGGGCGGCTGCTGCTCGTGATGGGAGGCGGGGCATGTGGAGAGCAGGGCGACTGCTGCTCGTGACAGCAGGCGGGGCATGTGGAGAGCAGGGCGACTGCTGCTCGTGACAGCAGGCGGGGCATGTGGAGAGCAGGACGGCTGCCACTCGTGACGGAAGGCGGGGCATGTGGAGAGCAGGGCGGCTGCCGCTCGTGACGGGAGGCGGGGCATGTGGAGAGTAGGGCGACTGCTGCTCGTGACAGCAGGCGGGGCATGTGGAGAGCAGGACGGCTGCCACTCGTGACGGAAGGCGGGGCATGTGGAGAGCAGGGCGGCTGCCGCTCGTGATGGGAGGCGGGGCATGTGGAGAGCAGGGCGGCTGCTGCTCGTGATGGGAGGCGGGGCATGTGGAGCGCAGGGCGGCTGCTGCTCGTGATGGGAGGCGGGGCATGTGGAGCGCAGGGCGGCTGCTGCTCGTGATGGGAGGCGGGGCATGTGGAGAGCAGGGCGGCTGCTGCTCGTGACGGGAGGCGGGGCATGTGGAGAGCAGGGCGGCTGCCGCTCGTGATGGGAGGCGGGGCATGTGGAGAGCAGGGCGGCTGCTGCTCGTGACGGGAGGCGGGGCATGTGGAAAGCAGGGCGGCTGCTGTTCGTGATGGGGACCGGTGTGTGCTGGGAGCTGAATTCGGCTCATAATTGCCTTGGGGAACGGCTGACTTCCATCGTCCATGGCTTATATGGCATGGACAAGGCGGACGGCACCGTATGCACAGACGTGGATGTCACAGCTGTTGAACCTCCCGGGTCTGATTGCGTCCAAGTGGCTACAGCGCTAAGACTATGCAGTGAACCCCGCAAGCTGCACGATGCAAACATTGTCAGGGAGCCGCGCGATTGTATAGTTTTCCGACACTAGCAATGGGTCACTGGTAAAATAAAGCGATTGCTGAACTCTTACTTCAGTGCCTGTACAACTTCCTCAACAATAAGATGAGTACAACTTGCTCGCCATTGCACTCCACGACGTTGCAGACATCTGCGCCAGATGGGCGTCCTGCTGGGTGGCAGAGCTGGCCGTGCTGCCATCTGTCTGATGTGGGTCCTGTGTGGTCCCAAGACGGCCTCCATCGGGCGGAGGCCATTAGTACGATGGGTCGGCGGGGACTTCTTGCGGCCTGCGCTGGTTGTCTCGCGTGTTGTCTAAAGAGTTGAAAGGACACCCTAGTGATCTGGGAAACGGGTTGTCGATAACTGTCGTGAATAGCGGCACCGTTGGCGGTAATTTTCGAGGAACTGTTTGCATATACAACAGATGCCGCAAGTCGTCTTAAACAGGCGGCGGCTATGGTGTCTGTTAATGTCAGTTGCCCGACAATGGATAGCCGGTTGATAACAGCCGGTGATGGGGGAATGCTGGTGAGGATCAATATACATGCCACAGTTATGGAGCATGGCTTTCGTGTGTTTTGAACTCAGAGTATAAAGGCTGTATAGCAGTCGATGCGAATCGCTCCAACTCGCAGAGCGGCCCGGTCGTTGCCATGGACAGCTATCGACCGAGCATGCGGACCACCCGCAGAGTCACACGGCCACCCGCAGGGTCACACGGCCACCTCCGACTGAACCCGCCGCGACCGATTTGTCAAAGCTGAATGACATCGTGATCATTGATCTGTTGTTCGCGATGTCTCGTGCGCTCAGCGCTGTACAGAGTGTGACGTCACGGTGGATATCGCTGCTGACAGCTGACGTCACAATGCCCGAGCTGTGGGAAGCCTGGTCGATTGCGCTGACCAGCGCGCGGTAGCCGCCCGGGAAGCAATGCCCTGTTTGGAAAGCATGGGTAACGGGGCGGCAGTGTTATCCTGTTTAGATGACAAGGCAGCCAGGTGCCCGGTGAGCCGTCTGTACCTACACAGAGCCAATGAGAGCAGATTCTTAAACACACTATTGCAAGCAGTTCGGGTAAGAGCTTGTTCTGTTCAGCAGCGCGGTGTTTGCCGTTGTTCAGTTGGGTCATCCAAATCATGAACATTCCAATCTCCAATCAATTGAAGCAACAATGCAACACATGCAGCAATGGAAGATTAAGATACTCACAATGTGTGCTATTTAAAGTGGAAGACATTTTTGTGTTGATTTCAACTCACATGAGCGAGGCGATTCTACCTGACGGATGACCGGAAACATTATGATACGGCAAACGCTATAGTTAGCTTATGAGAAGCTTTCAAACCACGGTGTTGCTGGGTGGCTGTGTTATAATGTTTACTGAAACAACTGGTGTGCGGTGTGGGTATTCTGAGGCAAAGAACCTCATACTGCTCTAGTTTGCCATATGGGATTATAAGTGATAAAGCCAATTTAATATCCACTGATTGATTTAAATGGCGTGCTCAGGTCGGCCAAGTTCCTTTTGGATGGGTAGATGTGCACCAGCAACACTTGCCCAAGAGTCCTGTACTGCGGAGCACCGTCTGGAAGAGTGCGATATGCGCCTCCTGCATCGTCAGTCGTCTTTCCACTCTCGCTGCACCAAGCCACAGCTGTCAGCGGAGATGGTAGCCGCCTCCGAAAGTCTCCCGCTCGTTATTGGGACCGGACTGCTCCAATTCCGCGGCCCTCCGAACGCTACCGATCTCAGACCATAGACGGCCACTGCTTCGTTGCCACGGAAGGTCCTATAAGCCCTAGGGTCAATTATGGCCATAATCTACCGTTGGCGGGGCTGGCCGTAGCGTTTGCAGTACCGAACGTCTGGCTACCCGGACCGGGTGACAGAGACCTGGGACCCCGGCCGGGTCACGAGGACCTGGCCACCCACACCGGGTGACGGGGACCTGGCCATCCAAACCGGGTGATGGGGACCTGGCCATCCAGACCGGGTGACGGGGACCTGGCCATCCAGATCGGGTGACGGGGCATCCAGGCCGGGTGACGGGGACCTGGCCACCAAACCGGGTGACGGGGCATCCAGGCCGGGTGACAGGGACCTGACCACCCACACCGAGTGACGGGGACCTGGCCACCCAGACCGGGTGACGGGGCATCCAGGCCGGGTGACGGGGACCTGGCCATGCTTTGGGCATTATGCCTGCGAGGATAAGAGCGACACTCTGAGCAAAGGATGCTGTGTGTCTGTAAGCGAGAGCACGGTGCTGCTGGAGGCAGGAGGCCGCAAGCTGACAGTGTAAGGCTCGATGTTAAGAACGGGCTGGGAATCGCAACGTTTGGTACTAAAAGCGCTGAAGTCCTTTCCACAATGGCATATTTCAGAAAAAAACAAAGTCATCCAGGGTGGAACCTGCTGGGCGCACTAATAGTTTGAGCAACACAGCTTTTGTTGCAATACATTTGCCACCCAGTCTCACGCATTTTCTATCAGATATGAATGGATGTACAGTTGGTACCTTTTGAGATTGGCTATTGTGAAACAGGCTATGTCTGCTCATTGCGGGCTGCACATCTGCCAAAGAGATTCTGGCTGTAAGCGGAATATGGGACGTTTGTGGGTATGCATGGCATCTCACGAGTACTGCTCTCAGGTTGTTTGGGCAAAATTTAACCACAGACTGTCCATGGAAGGGGCCACGGTCTCCTCCTGAATATAAATTCATAGTATGGCCACCCTGCCGTCTATTTTGAGCTCCGTTGAAAGAATGCGCAGATTTTCCAGAAATAATCGGCGCCTGCTTGAGGCAGCTGCCAGTAAGCCCCAAGCAGTATCTTTCTCCGAAACTAGCTAACCAGAAACGGAGATTACGAGTATCATCCGCAGGAGAGGTAGCGCGAGATTTTCCTGAGAATAGACGAACGTAAATGACACAGACACGACCCATTTCGGCCGCTCTGCTACCATCGATTCCCTCTAGCTGCCGTATCATCACCGCCTTTGTTCCGGTGGTCCGGCCGTTACCACCAGGGCTGTTGGCGTCAATCGCAACAACAGAACACTTACAGAGAGGCCACAGAGCAGAGATTGGGGCAGAGATTGTTCTATGGTATCAAACCCCGGGACAGAGGTTGAGGCAG